GTCGCGCTTCTGTTGGGCATGTTGCCTGAGGTATTCGAGTGCGTGTGTATCTGCGTGGGCGAGCTGCAAGGCATTTCCTGCCCTATCCTGTCCAATGCCAACCATTTCGGATGCCAACTAGGTCAGGGCGTGGAGTCGACGGCCCGCTGGGCATTCAATTGCGAGTTCAATTGGCACTGGACACCCGAAATGCAGCAGTTCGTGTTGTCCAAATGGCTAATTAGCTTGGAAATGCGCTAAGAACTTGCACATAATTGCCCCTAATCCTGTTGCCGTAGCCCGGCCGGGGATCATGTTCGCCGGACCCGACAGGATTGAGGACAGTTTGGTCTTTGATTGATAACAAATTGAGCTGCCCGAGGGGAGACGCACACGCCGACTCCAAATTCACGGCCGGCGAAGAGTGTACGAGTACACTGGGGAAAAATATGCTCGACGCTGGTCCGCCTTTAAACCCTGACCTCTGTATGAAATTTCTCTGTGCGGGGACAGCCGACAAGTGTCGGCAAACGGAGCGAGCTCCAGGCGTCTGCTAAATGAGGCGCGCTAATTAGAAACCATTTCCCCGAATCGGCTGAATAGCTGGCAACGGAATGATGGAATGACGGAGGTTGGGCCGTGCCAGGTCTCGTGCGTGCCATCTTACACTCAATTGATTTAATGGTCCTGGACCACAGCTCATTGTCCGTGGATGGGACATGTCGGGAGCAGCTCACATGGGCATCTCCTAGCTCCTAGGTTGTCCCCGTTTTATGCCTGTCACATAATAAATCTTATTTGATTTGTTTACTTCCCATTACTACTCTTGGGGTTGGGGTTGTGTCTAGGGTTTGGGGCTGGCTTCCATTGTCCTTCGTTCTTGTCATTAAACAAGGGTCATTGTTTCTGTGGCATCAGCATTCCCCTCAGCCTAATTCGATTGGCCCCCGTTTCGTTTAAGTGCCGCAGTCGGCCGAGGTAATTTAATTAATAATCAAATTACGCATACGCCCCGTGACACACCGGCTCAATTTAACATAGGGACAGGTTTGGCATTGAATGAATCCGCGACACCAAACTTATTTAATTCAATTGAATTTGTCTCCAGCACAGCTGCATTGGGGCCCAATTAGCCCCGATTAGGCTGTGATCTGAAGCTCTACCAGAGGACTGTTTGAGCCCGAATTAGGGCTGGCTTGCCCTCCTGCCAAAGGAATGTCTGTCGTTGCTGTTGTGTCGTTGTGCATTCCTTTGTTTGCAGCTATTTTGATTGCTGGGAGCTCCTTTGACGTGCAGATTAATCAATTAAAGACTTGAAGACCTTAATCTGAATGACAAAGCGTCGCTTGTTTATTTTGTGGCTGCTGCCGACTGATGATTCCTAATCATCTCTTCTCAGAGTTTAAATAAGACTATAACTGTGCGCAGATCGTCTGTTTGTCTGTGCCATCGATATGTCTCACTCGGAAGCTCTCTATTTGGTTTTGGTGGGGGGCCACACATCCACACAGGCCTGACTAAACAGATACTTTAATTTCTTGCATATTCAAGTGAAATTAGCCCTGACCACGCCCACGCCCACACCCACACCCAAGCCCACACCCACGCCCGTTCCAGGCCAGCGGAGAGCCTATCTCAGACAGGGACTTGGGGAAAACAATAACCATAAATGTTAACAAGGAGCTGTCGCCCCACAAAACACAAGACTTAATGATGCCAAACAAAAGGGAGCCGGCTGCGGGCTGAGGACATTTAGCATGTGTCTCTGACAGGTGCTAAGGTGTCTGCCGAATTCGAATACTATTTCTATCTGTCTGCTCCTGGGTCTGAGAATCGGCCTATCTCGCTTTGGAATTAATTAGAAAGCTGCGGTCGGACCTTGCCTTTTCCCTGTGAAACATTTGGCAGCAAATTTAATTTGCGGTTAACTTGGCAGGGGGCGGAAGGCTGGCAGGCTGAACCCAGTCTTCGGGCAGGCCTCGAGCCTTGGGGGACCAGGCATTTAAATTTTCTGGCGAAAATCTCGGCAAATTCCTTGATTAAATTCCCCCCCATTCAGCAGCGGAGCGAGCCTGGGAGGCACTGTGATTGATTAACGTGTGTGTCGAATCGAAAGTGTAGGGCGCACAGTGCCACGCCCACCGGCAGCAGCGGGAATAATGGCAACAAAAGTCAAACTACGTCTCATTGCCGACCTTTGGACGGATTGGCAGAGGCGACGCTCGGAGAGGGCGAATGACTGATTGTTCCCGGCCCCCGTGCTGGGGGCACATACGAGCGCCCGTACACCCGTGCATAAGCGCGGCTGTGTGCATCCATAACGGGAGACCCAGGCGACACGTTCGCACATGAAAAATCGTCCCGGCTTGGCCCCTGCGAATCTGATTATAAAACATGTGCTTAAGTAATAGCATCCGAGGTAAAGTGTTTGACTTGACTTGACGAGGACGGGCCGGGCCTTGTAACAGATTGCCAATTCACTCGAGGAAGCGGCTTCAACGGGGCTAAGATTAATTTGTTTGCACTTTGATGATGCCATAGCGAGGCGATAGGTTGAAAGGTTTATGAAAATCGAAAATTAAACGAAAGGGGAACAGCAGCAATGGAATCCCAATCGATTAGGTATCAATAGCGAGTAGACACTCAGCCTGTGACCTCCTGTGAGGTGCCTCTGGGTTCTGGACTCTGGGTGTGATGAAAAAGGATTCACTTATTACTCGTAATGAACTTTTTCCACCAGCTTTAAGTGCGATTCTCTCCGATTAGTAATTGAAGATTATCCATCGACTGACAGAAGACTGAAATCAGAGGAAGCTGTGGAAGCAATGCTATTTTAGATATAATCTGCAAGATATCTGATCCGCCAATCGCTTTCACTTCCAGCTAAAACATCAAGCAGATATTCTCCAACCACTACACACCCGCAAAGAACTCCCCCCGACCCCCCAGCACTCCCACCGTCTACAGTCAGCTATCAAAAGTATGCGCATAACTCAGACGCTGCCATTTGCATGCTTCGAGTGTTTACAAATGGGATTCGGAGTCGGATTTTTCCGCATTGCATAAATTCCCTTTATGCCGTGCCAGCTTGACGAGGGAAAACTTTTTGCAACATTTTATCAGATTATGAAACACACAGAAAATGCAACTTCCCGTCCTGTGTGTCCTGTGTGCTGGGTGTCCTGTGTGTGCACCAGTCAGTGTATGGGCAACCAATATAAGAAGAAAGAAAAATACAACTCGAGTGCGCCCCTCTACCGCTGCCGTTACCTCCAGCTCTACTTACCTTTTCCCAAAGAAGTAAACGGAAACATTAAAATTGTATTTGTGAGCCATAGACGCCCGGGGAGCTGAAGGGTCTCTCGAACATATGCGGAGAAAAGCTGACACAACAATTGGAAATCGGCTGGAAAATAGACGGTGCCACAGCGAACTCTTCAAGAAAACTGGAGAAGTTTGTAGAGGTTGCACCTTCGCGAAGGAGAATTGTGCTTCAACTTTTTTCCTCGAGCGAGGAAAATGGGAGCACGCGAAAGTGGCATCAGCAATTTGTAAGGCACAGCGGGAACTAAATGAAAATCCTCACCTCTTTTTACTGATAGACAGACACATCAGCGACCCCACTAATGCCGACTTTCATCCTTATCAATCTCTATTAAACAACGCTCTGCGAAGGAGCAAGCTCGGAACAAGCTCGAGCCGACTCCCCACTCAACTCTGTGTCTCCATTGGGCCCAGAGCCATGACAAATGGCCAACAGAATGCATATTTATGATTGCGCACAGATACACATTCCTGACCAGGCACAAGGGCAGTCTGATTGGTGTTGTAGCTCCCACTTTCGGGGCACTCGGCTGGGGCTGGGGCTGGGGCTGGTACTGGTACTGGTAGTCGTCCTCGTACGGCTAAAATGCCAGCACAAACTTTATACGCACGTAGTCAATTACTCAACCCAGCAGCAGGCAGGACTGCCACCCACCCGCCCACACGTGCATCTGCATATATTTGTACATATGTTCGTACATAGGTGCATTGTCGTTTTCCATTCTGGCAGCTTCGGGGAAGCAGCCTAGCCTTGAATAAACCAAGATAAATTAAACCCGTCGAGGCTGATTGTGCTCAAAATGAAAGAATACTTCCGTGAGTATGTAGTTTTTTCTAAAATATCTGTACGAAATATAACACCAATATTATTTCCTCTCCCTCGTTGTCCATCCTTGCCCCTTAAAATAGATTTCAAACGAAATTTTAGCAAATATTTTCAGCCTCCTTTGAAGTGTCGGTTGTTGTCGCCCAATATTACATGTAGTCTCCTCTTTATGGCCGAGAACAGCTCAATAAATATTGCCTCGGACATAAAATTGAAAGTATTTCCTAAGTCCATGGAACAACAACACTCGGAGCATGCTGCTGCCTGTCGGAGCCATGTTATTGTCTTTCGATCTGTGTTCTGCCTCTGTCTCAGCATTTTAAGGAATTAAGACAATTACAGTTGGAATTTACTTGGCAGAGTGGTCGGACTGGGCGGAACCGGCACTGGGGGAGGTGGTCCAGATGTCATGAGTTACTGTTAATTAGAAAATTGTTATTCAATAGCTTGGAGTCTTTGCAGTGGATGGTGGGGGGACACTCAGTCCATGTAATGGATTGATTATACCAATTCAGATTGTATTTAAATTTCATTTCATTGCTGTTACATACATAGATTATACTTACATAATGTGCTTTAATTTTGATAAAAGAAAGGAAGCAATACATAACTTTTCTTTGCTTGTCAGTGATTGGCCTTGCCTTTTTGGCCAGAGCCGTGCAGCGGCAGTGTTACTTTTGGTAGCGATCCAGCGAAGTGACAGACCTAAAGTAATCGAGGGGCACCCATAGAGATCCCGGCAATTGACTGATCCCCGGCCTTGGCAGATGCCTTGCCCTGCTCGTTGAGCAGGCCTCCGTCACGGGCGAGCGGCTCCATCGTTTTTATTTGTCATTTACAAAATCCCTATTCTCTTATCTTGTTCCAGAACTTTTTGAAGTGATCCCCGCTTTGGGTATTGTTGTCTACTGGCTGTGCAACTTCATCATTTTCCCACGCTGCGGAATCTTCCTACACGGAAGACGCATAATTATTGGATTCGGCTTATTTTTGGAAATTTTACAAGTAAGCGCTCAGCATGGGATCTCCAACTAACGCCGCCTGTGCCTCACCGGGAACTCGGTGTGTGCCATTCCGATTAGCAAATCACAAAATTCTTAAGCTTTACATTTATCAGAGTCATTTATCATCTGCTTCAGCGAAAGTCCCGCCAGCCCATCATTATGTGATTGGAATCGGAGGACGCGCCTCTTCCCTACAGCCATCGACGGCTTCAGCGTTCACCAATGATCATCTGCTGGTGGCAATGCTACAGACGAGTTGCAAAGGCGAGATGTCATCAAAGGCGAACTCACGGAACAATCTGCCGGTATGGAAACCATTCGTCTAATTGCTATATCCGCCAAGAAGAATCATCAGGTTATGAGCAGCGGCTAGGACGGATAGCCACATGATAGTTTAAGCCATGCCATAGATTCCTTAATCTATTTTTTTGAGATTCTAATTTTACATATTTTATGTTATGGCAGCCATACATAATGGTCCGCAGCAGCATAAAGTAGATGTCTAACAGGAGACAGCCGCTGTAACAGGAGACTGTAGGCCAGATAAATCCAAGCCATCTTCTTCACACGGATTAGCCTGCTATTGCCAGGAACATGCCGGCCCCCTTAAGGCCATAGACGCTCAGCTCGTATCGATATAAGGAGGCTGTCGCGATCTATCGCGATCGATACTTCACCCACGATCGCGTGCATCGCCCCAGTAGCTAGTACACCGACACCCTCTTCCCTGCAGCAACATGCTTTGCCTCGGCTTTGAACGGGTAATTTTTCCTTGTTTGGCACCTAATCATCTTTTCCATTGACTATTTTTTCTTGGTTCTTCTTTTATTTATTATAACCTCCAGCTCTATTGGCCGATACCCTCTCTGGCCACACATCTCCTCCTCTTACTACGCCAGGTAAATTTATTAAGTTATTATTTATTAAATTATTTTATATAACTCTTCCTTTCATTTTAGTAGATTGCCCCTTCCGTTGGCCAGGAATACCTCTTCCGTAGCAGTGGACTCGGGGCCATGATGCCGTGCGATCTTCGGGACACGATTCCGACGTAGCTCCTTGTCCTCTCGGGAGGTGCAAGGGATGTGCTCCTGGCTGGACTTTGGCAGCTACCGGCTGTCCAGCTGCGGGCCATAGCTATGATGCCGCTGCTGTGCCGCTGAGTCGACAATGTGGCGTCCCGTCCGCTACAGGGACATAATTTCAGCAACCAAACCAAACAAATCAAACGCTGGATTTCAGCTTCGATACGCGTAAGTAAATCAGTATTTAATTGTGTATGTATTTTAAAATATGTCTTTCTTCACAGAAGACTTATGTATCCTACGGCGTATTCGAGACAGGCCGAGTCCCAGCCAGGCAGAATCGTCTCCCAGCAGGACAGAATCGCATCCCCTGAAAGAGCTCGAACCTAACAAGCCGTCATCATCTTTCGACCTGGCCATCGACTACTATCTCAAGGACTTTGGCTACGGCAAGCAAGAAGGAGCTGTGCGGTCCACTAGAATATAGATAGATCTTGTTGTTGTTAGATTTAAGGATACATACCTCACCTCTATGCACATATGTAGATAGTAGATATAAATGTTATCAACTTGTTTATTTATTTAAACTAAGTTAAGTTATGATGAATAAAGCTATTGAATAATTATCCTTGCTGTATCCTGTATCGGGGAAACTATCCCAACTACGACAAAGCGTAGCACGCCGAGATCGGTTCACAAATAACAGAGAAAACTAAAAAATTTTTATTGGGAAAATGTCCTTGATCCTTGATAAGGACTCCATCAGATCAGAAACATTTTTCCGATCACATTCGATCAGGGACATTTCTCCGAAGACAGGAAACCGTCGCACGTCCCGATCGGGCCACCAAAATCCGAGAAAACTAAATATGCGTTGTTGGAGTCCTTACCAAAGGATCAAGGACATTTTTCTGATCACGGGGGACCATGGCACGCCCCGAACGGGCCCTTAATAAGGGAGAAAACAAGATATATATGTCTTTAGAAAATATCCTTGATCCTTGGTCCTTGATAGGGACTGCATTAGATCAGGGACATTTTTCCGAATACAGGAAGCCGTCGCACGTCCCGATCGAGCCTCACATAACGGAGAAAGGTAATATTCTTGATCCTTGATACCCTTTGTCCTCGAAAAGGACTTCATAGAATCAGGGACACTTTTCCGAATACAGGAAAGCATCGCACACTCAGATTGGTCTATGAATAACGGAGAAAATGAATATTTTTGATCCTTGATGTCCTTGATCCTTGAAAAGGACTTAATAAAATCAGGGATATTTTTCCGACCAAAGGAAGCCGTCGCACGCCCAAATCGGCCCACAAATAACGGAGAAAACACAAATTTTGTATTTGTTATTTTTGAAAATGTAGTTCAAGAAATCACCGATAGGGGCGCCACCGTACAATCGAAAAAACCTCGCGTCAAAAGGCCAAAATCTGGATGGGATACCAGGCGAACAGAATTAAGCAGCAAGCAACTGCAGCAATTGCAAAAAAATTTCGCAGCATACTTTAGGGGGACCACAATTTTTTAAAAATTTCAGTTACCTTCTGCTGATTTCTGTTCGCCTGGTATTTCAGCCATTTGACGCGAGGTTTTTTTGTTTGTACGGTGGCGCCCCTATAGGTGATTTCTTGAACTACATTTTCAAAAGTAACAAATAAAACATTTTTGTTTTCTCCGCCATTTGTGGGCTGTTTTGGGCGTGCGACGGCTTCCTGTGATCGGAAAAATGTCCCCGATTTTATGAAATCCTTTTCAAGGACAAAGGATGTCAAGCATCAAACATATTAGTTTTCTCCGTTATTTGAGGCCCGATCGGGACGTGCGACGGCTTCCTGTATTCGGAGAATTGTCCCTGATCGAATGAAGTCCTTATAAAGGACCAAGGATCAAGAGTATTTTCTCCAGACATATATATCTTGACTTCTCCCTTATTTGTGGCCCGATCGAGACGTGCTTCTGTGTTTGGAAAAGTGTCCTCGATTTAATGGAGTCCTTATCAAGGACTAAGGATCAAAGGTATTTACTCCAGACGTATATATCTTGCTTTCTCCCTCATTTGTGGCTCGATCTGGGCGTTCCATGGCCCCCCATGATCCGAAAAATGTCCTTGATCCTGCGGTAAGGACTCTAACAACCGCCACCATACATATCTAGTTTTCTCGGCAATTTGCGGCCCGATAGGGACGTGCGACGGCTTCCTGTGATCGGAAAAATGTTTCTGATCTGATGGAGTCCTTATCAAGGATCAAGGACATTTTCCCAATACAAATTTTTTAGTTTTCTCTGTTACTTGTGAACCGATCTCGGCGTGCTACGCTTTGTCGTAGTTGGGATAGTTTCCCCGATACAGGATACAGCAAGGATTATTATTCAATAGCTTTATTCATCATAACTTAACTTAGTTTAAATAAATAAACAAGTTGATAACATTTATATCTACTATCTATGTGTATAGAGGTGAGGTATGTATCCTTAAATCTAACAACAACGAGATCTATCTAGATTCTAGTAGACCGCACAGCTCCTCCTTGGTTTCCATAGCCAAAGTCCTTGAGATAGTTGTCGAGGGCCAGGTCGAAAGATGATGACGGCTTGTTATGTTCGTGCTTTTGCAGTCTCCTGCTGGGAGACTATTCTGCCTGGCTGGGACTCAGCTTATCTCGAATACGCCGTAGGATACATAAGTCTTCTGGGAAGAAAGATATATCTTAAAATACATATATACACAATATACATATATACACAATTAAATACTGATTCACTTACGCGTATCGAAGCTGAAGCCCATCGTTTGATTCGGCGGCGCATGAATGGGGGGAGGGGGTTGCTGACATTATGTCCCTGTAGCGGACGGGATGCCACATTGTCGGCTCAGCGGCACAGCAGAGACATCATATCTATGGCCCGCAGCAGGACAGCCGGTAGCTGTCAAAGTCCAGCCAGGAGGACATCCCTTGCACCTCCCGAGAAGACGTGCTACGTCGAAATCATGTCCTGAAGAACGCACGGCATCATGGCTCCGAGTCCTCAGACACGCAAGAGGTATTCCTGGCCACCGTAGGGGTCAACCTGCTAAAATGAAAGGAAGAGTTAAATAAAATAATTTAATTAATAATAACTTAATAATTTTACCTGGCTGGGGAAGAGGAGGGGATCGCGACATAGCGGTTTGTGGCCAGAGAGGGTCTCAAAATAAAAATAGAAGAACCAAGAAAAAAAACTCAATGGAAAAGATGAATTGAGGGAAAACAAGGAAAACTTACCCGGTCAAAGCCGGTAAAGCATGATGCTGTCGGTGTGCCAGCTGCTGGCGCGATGCACGCGAACGTGGGTGCAGCATCGATTAGATCGCGAAAGCCTCCTGACACTATATCGATAAGAAGTGAGCAGCCCTGCGACCTCACGAACGTCCATTGGACCGATCCGGTAGAAACCAAACGTGATGGTTCAAAAAGGGGGCGAGCGTAATGTTGTTTACACATCATTTTCTCTGTCATACCAATCAGCTTTCGACAGTCTGCCGAAATGAACTGCTTGCATAACTCTTTATGTACTGCTTCCAAAACGGTTTAACATTATCATTGCAATGTTAACCTAACAGAACTGTATTTGAATTTTAAGCGGGAAAGTTTTCTGTGACAGGTCACAGAATAAACAGTATAAAAAAATTCAACAGCAACTATGTATGTATACATATTAAGGCAGCCTGAATAACACTTTAAACACTGAATTTAATTTTAAGTGGGATAATTTATAATGTTCGGATAAGTTATCAAATATTAATACATCTTTATGTACATACAGCAACAATTTTTTATTTCTTGATAGAAAAATAAAATCATTAATACATAGTTCATTATTATTATTGAGGTTATTATTAAGAGGTTGTGTATTGTGTAAGTTTCTGCTCACAATGCCCTGCTACGCTGTGCACATCGCCCCTCTCCGGATGGGCATTGACAGATTTAGCAAAATATATGTTGTACAACTATTTCGCCGTCGCTCTCGACTCTTTTTTGGCTTAACACTGACGTTTTAGAAGCGAGGTGCTTGACTCTCCTGTCTCTTATGTTTTAGCTTAGATCTGTATTATAACCGAACCCTGATAAGCATACATTGTCCTTTCTCTCGGGCGAGCAACAGACTCGAAATGTAATGTTTCTGCCCACAGAAGAAGACGTTTAGAGTTTACAATTACAATAACAGCTACGTAGAGGTAAATGCTAAATAGTTAATAATAGTTTATCATTTAAGCTATGTGCTGCAGCTTAGTTTAGTTTGCTATAATAGATTTTCGCAAGGAGTGAGTCAAATATTGAAGCCTCCGTGCGCTGAAGCTACATGCTTAGTTTTTCACCGACTTCTGACCAACTACAGCTTGGTCAAATGTACTCTCATACTGGAACCGTACAAAAAAATGTATAGCTCTGGACTGAGTGCTGATTTGGTCTGACAATTGCGCGAGCTATTAGCTCCCCTACATAACATTCCTCCCTTCGCCCTTTGCACTTAGCTCCTATTTGTGAGGCTGCATGAGAAGGTGCTTCTAGTATTCAATCGGATTTGGATCGCGTGGCTTGCGTGAATACTTCAGGCCCAGATCGTCGCTGGTCTCGTCAATAACCTCAAGGGCATAGTCCAGCTGCTCTTTGGTGTGGGCAGCCGACAGGCAGAAACGGATGCGACCCTCCATAATGGGTGTGGCTGGAAAACCGGCACCTACCACGGCGATGTGGCGGGTGGTCAAAGTGCGAACCACGGCACTGATAGGGAAAATTATATCGGGATCGGGATTAGCAATGAAACAATTTGGAGTAATTTGGGCTCAGCACTCACCCAATCTTGGAGAAGAGGTAGACGAGCATGGGCACCACGGGCGAGTCCTCGTGGCCGTAGGTTATCACTCCTAACTGGGCCAGGCGACGGCGGAAATACCGCGTGTTCCTGGCCAGTTGCATGATCTTGTTCCGACCCGTCTCAGTGCCATCCTCGCCCATGATAGTCTTCATGGAGGTGAGGATCTGCTGAGCAATGGGCGGCGAAATAGATCCAGCATAGCAGTGGGCATGGCTGTTGGTACGAAGGAAATCAATCAGTTTCTGGAGGGGAACAAGAAGTGGCAGAATTAGTAGGGAAAACAAACATTAGTTAAAGGGGGAACGCACCTTAGATCCGGCTAGATAGCCCCCAGCACTGCCGAAGCTCTTGGTGAACGTGCCCATTAGGATGTCGACGTCTTTTGGATCCACCTTGTAGTAGTCCGTGACGCCCCTTCCATGGGAGCCCATAGCACCGACGCTGTGGGCCTCGTCTAGATACAGATATGCCTTGTACTTCTTCTTCAGGGCTACGACCTCGGGCAGGCGCACTATGGAACCCTCCATGCTGAAGATGCCCTCCACAATGATCATCACCTTGGACCAGGGTTTGCCTCCGTTCTTGGTATTGCCGTAGCAGATGCCGTCGCGCAGCACGCGCTCCAAGTCCCGCATGTTGTTGTGCTTGAACACCTTGATTGTGGCCCCGGACAGACGCAGGCCCAGGATGATCGAGGCGTGGTTCTTCTCATCGCTCACCACCATGC